TTTTTTTAGGCCTTCTTGCTTTTATTGACACTGAAGTGAGACAACTGAGGAGAGAAATAAATTGTTGGGTTGAGAGAGTGAGGTGTGCTGGCTGATTCATGGATATCATGAGTTGCTAGGAAGACCCATTAAATTCATAACATAAAATTAGCTTGTAGATGTTCCAAATTACATCAAAACAACAGAAGTTATGTAATGCAGCCCTTTAGTTAACAATAAAGTAATGTATTAAGTAAAACAAATGATCATGATTTGGGGTTATTTTGATTTTTACCTATGGCAGGCACTGCATTTGGTTAAATTCAGTCATAAAAAAGATCTTCCACTCTTAAATCAGGGATTTTCAGATGCAAATGTGGATCAAAGAGAGTCAATTCTAAACAAGAAATTCAACCTTTCAAAGCTCTTTATCAAATCAGGCAGAAAATAAGAGGACCTGAAATAGAACCCTGAGGGACACATTAGCTGGTTTCTGCACCTATAAAGCATTTTGAGATTGAGAGGTTGAATCCAAACAAGTAAATGACGATGAATAGACCATGATGGATGTTTTTCATGATCAAGATCCTAAAATCCTTGCTTAGGTTTACTTTTTTTTGGTGTTGTTTGGGAAATATAATTTCAGAGCAATTTTATGATGTCATTGTCTGTTCTAAATCAATCATTGAACGTGACAACCAATGATGTTTTTCCTAAATGCAATTAAATAAAGTCTGAGTTGTCAGTAATTCTTGTTTTGGCAGATAACTGAGTGATGGAGGAAGTAAAGATTATTTGCCTTTGTGTCAGATTCAGTGATGACATTTTAAAGACATATTGTTTTCTTTATAATAACCACAGTCACATAAACTCTCTCACACACACGCACGCACGCACACGCACACACACACACACACACACACACACACACACACACACACACACACACACACACACACACACACACACACACACACACTTTTGTCACCCACAGAATCAATCCAGAAGTCACAGTGTCAGGCTCCTGTAAGGCCTGCCTCTCCACTGCTAATAGGAAATGCTCCCTAACATCTGTGGTCCTCCTCCCTATCTCCCTCTTTCTCTTGCTCTCTCTGTCTCTTTCCTGCTCCCTCTGTCTGTCTTCGAGCAGCAGAATAAATTGAATTAGAGCTCCACCACCCACTCCACAGGATCCTGCAGCCCTCTGTCAGATAGCTTAACAGAGAGTGGAAGAGAGAGAGAAAGTCACAGAGAGAAGATAAACAGAGGGCAAGAAGAAAGACAGGTATAATAACCCCCCCCCCCCATCTAGTGTTACAGTGTGATAAAAGTTCAGATTTTCTTCTTTTTTTTTCCGGGGGGGGGGATTTGTTGGGATAAGAGTGGCAATTAATAATGAGAGATAGGTGGAAATTCAGGACAGGTGGGATACTTCTGCCTCACATCAGTTTCCAACCATACACCCTATTATGGAATAGGAAATGATCTTTCATTATCAGGGTAGTAACACAAACACACAGCGAAGTCACAGCATGGACCAGATGGCACTTCCAACACTTTTCATTTGGCACTGATGCCACTACAGCAAATTAAATGTGAATAACTAAATGAGAGGCAGAGGTAGCTTTAAAATAGAACCCTTTTTCTTCCCCAGTCTTACATTGCCCAGTTTAAAATCTCAAAGAATAATCTGTGAAACAAATGCACTGCTATTCATCCTGTAGCTAATGGCACGGCAAACCACTCCTTTTAGGCATAAATCGGAGGCTAAATGCAACTAAAATGGAGTGAAAATCACCAGTTTCTCTCCCTTGCTCAGTCACCCACACTCTTTTTCTAGAGCCAGGGAAGCATTTGCATAATGCCGCCATATCCACGGGCCATTAGCACCAGCATGAGTGGCTCGTGTGCATAAATTTATTGCCTTGATCAATCAATGCGAGCCACTGTACCGGTACAAACTGATGCAACTCCAATCTAGCAGAAGATAGCGCCAAGGGAACAGAGGGGTGGGGAAACATGTCATGACCTGTCAGAGTCCTAAATTAGAGACAAATTAAACTCTAAAACAGACAATTCTTTCAAAAATATTAATTTGTAATTAAGACATTTTCCTGCTGATTTAGTAAACATTCATTTGAATAAATTCTCATTTGCTGAGAAACCAAAACATCTCATACAGCATATAGACTAAGCTACATTAGTGCATCAGTGCGGTATGGATACAGCAGCAGCATGGACGCCTGCAGAGAGTGGTAAAGACTGTAGAGAGGATTGCTTTTATCCTCAGGCTATCCGACTGATCAGCAGATCTAATCCACATTCCCTGCCGACACCTTAACCCCCACTCACCATTCAGGAAGCCTCACTTTGCTTCTTCTTCTTTCCTGATATTATTATTTCTTAAATTTTTAATTTTAGATTTGCACTTATTTGCATCTCCAGGTGACATTCAGAATGGGAGTCAATCAAAGCCTTTCAGATTTGTTTTCATTATGACAAGAATGCCTTTGTGACACTTGACTTGTCTTTGTGAGAACTTTTGTGAACAGAACCTACTTCGATGTCCACATGTAAAATTGATGTCATTATTTTCAGTGCAAGTGCTCTGGGAAACACATTTAAAGGGGTATAGATAGAAGACCAGGAAAATGCATACAGTCAATGCTCATTTTCAAATATCTTATACACTCAAAAACATGCCTAACTGCCTGACAAACAATTTGCCCGACCAGTTACTTTCTCCATTTTCATCTCATGGTCAGAGGGTCAGCAACATCACTCTATATTTAGCACATATCCCACTGAAAAAACAATGAATCCTCATTTTTGCTATTTTGAATCTCTGTGTTGTGCCTCCATCATAGAGAATATGTTACAGCTAATGAACCAAGCAGTAAAATCCAAAATCATGAATCAAAGAATCATTTATTTGTGTTTCTGGGAGACATCCATATTTAGGCTTCAATTTTATGCTTAAACCTTCCAGCCATTTAATATTGAATTACAAATGTCCATATATATATATATATTTCATTTTACCTTTATTTATGCTCGAGAAATCATTGAGGGCAAGCCCTCATTTACAATGACATCGAGAGTACAATTAAAACAAATAAGAGACAAAAAAGACAAAAAACAACGAAGACAAAATACATAGATTATAAGACCAGAAGAATAAGCAGTAGGCAGGCAACAGCAGTTAATAACATATAATAACATATAAACATCATTTTGAGATGTTAAGCCATGAAGGCAATAACAGGCAGAAATATCCAATTTTGCCTATGAGCGATCTGTTGTAAAGGAAGTCAGTTTAAACAGATTTTCAACCTATTTGATGGTGTTTCTGCCTAGATTCCAAATAAGTCATGTTGTCAATACAATGTTTACAGTAAACAAAGTTATCTTGCAGTGAGGATTGCTCAGAATATGCTCCAACCAACACAAAGATTTTAAGAGCTGCAATGGATAAAAAATGTCAGCCTGTAAGCGAGAACACAAAATCAAATGTTAAGGGGTGTTTATGATGTTTCTCAATTTGTAAATGAAATATGTTAATTTGGCAAAGGAAAATAAAGGCCACAATAAATTAGCAAGGGAGCAATATGTAAATCATTATTGATATCAAATTAGAGAAATCCAAAGTCAGTGTGGAGGTGGATGTTGAATGGAGAGTATTGACTGAAATCACTACAGTGGACTGTTCAGCAGTCTAGGAGGACTGTTTAATGGAACTGCAATGTACTGAGCCTCTGCTCCATTCACTGGTGTTAGATATCCAGTATTGTATGTCAGGACAAGCGCATGCACGCACACGCACACACACACACACACACACACACACACACACACACACACACACACACACACACACACACACACACAGGCACAAGTGTCATCACTTGAAACGTATAGCTCCGTGCATGAACACACAAAGGTTACACACAAATTTAGAGGACAATGCACAAGCGCCATCATCATCGTCTGGCACTGTGCCAACAAGGTGGGGTAGTGGTTCAGGGCACGCGCACATGTGCGATATAATGTTGTCAACAGATAATGCGCATTCAAATTTTAGTCCAAACTTGCAAACTGTTACCCTACACCATATATACCTTACAGGTACACACCGAAACATTAGACTACACTGTCTCTTCTGTCACTCAACTCTATTAAATTCACAGGCTTTATTGGCGAGTCTCTCTCTCGCTCTCTCGCTCTCTCAGTCCAGGTGCAGTGTTGGCGCACAAAAAGGCGCAGTGGGCGCAGTGTAATAGTACTTTAACAACTGGTCTAAAGGCTGCTAAATGTATCCTGTAGACTCCGTGAACCTCTAAAATGGTTTACGGATGCTGAAGACATGCTGCGCGCGCACCTAAGTTCTCTTTCTTATTGGCGTCGGCAACACGCGCTCCTGCGTGCACACGCGCGTGCACACAGACACACTGACGTTAACTCGTAGCTCTCAACTGGGTGCAGAGCCGCTGAAATGAAGCCTACTTAAACTAGCCGAACTCAGCGTCCAACAACCGCGGTCTCAATTGCTCGTGTGCCTCCATACAGATGGAGAGAGAGAGAGAGAGAGAGAGAGAGAGAGAGAGAGGGAGAGAGAGAGAGAGCGAGGGAAAGACCTTTTAACTTATACCGGGCTAGTTTTGACCTTGCCCATGCTCTGTGATAGGTTTCATGTGCAACCACCAACATTAGCACCCTCTTTATACCCCCCCCCCCCCACCCACACCCCTCCAAAAAATGCACCCTCTCTGCCGCCCCACGCCCCATTTCAACATCAAGACTAGATATCTATACAGGAGGATATAAATAACTCCACACCTGCCGTTTTTTTTTTTATCCCTCAGCAACCACCTTTCATTCGCTCCACCATCACAGTCAGAGCGAGAGAGAGAGAGAGAGAGAGAGAGAGAGAGAATTTGACGACTTCAACGAAAGAACATAGCTGGACAAGAAAACTCATCGGTCATTTTGCACGAATGAATAGACAGGAGTTTAAACTTTACCTCTTTCCGGGTGTCACGGTTCCTGCGTACTGTGTCAGTGCGAAATGGTCTTCCAAAACACCATAATTAGAAAGATAGTGTTGACTGTAGTTATAACTCCACACAAATAGGTTCCAGATAAGAGAATATGCCCCATATATATACCGAGGTAAGGATTGGAAATATCCTGGTTGCTAATTCCGTATGTATGGGTTTATTTTTCAATCCTGTCTTCCAGAGGGGTGCGTCCGTTTTGCATTCTCACAGCGCCCGACGACTACATCCCCCTCTTCTTCCTCCTCTCTCTTGCTCTCTCTCCCCGTCTTTTTCTCCCGGTCTCATCCCTCCATCCGCGGGTTGAGGAAAGAATCAAATCCGAGAGAAACTGAGACTATCCCCCCCTCCTTCCCCTTTAACGGCTTCTTGTCTTCTCTTTTTCACCTCTTCTTCGCAGTAGTGTCTCCTTCCTCTCCTTCACTGTCGGTCGCTGTGCTTCAGCAGGTGAAATAGGAAGGAATTCCACAGAAAGATAAAGTATCCCAGATGAAAAGGGCGTAAAAGTCTAATTATTCCAACAAATCATCCCCACGCGTCAGGCAGAGTTTGAAGGTTGATTCACACTCCTGAAAATCCACAGTAGCACCTCTCCTGGTTGGACGCCTTTAAAGCTTTTTAAATGAAGCTTGTTTTTTTTTTGGAAAGACACTTCACAGTCGCAAGCTTCTACCTCTCCCCCCCCCTCTCTCTCTCTCCGTGTCCTGCTTAAGTCGCTCACCCTCCGTTAACTCGACTCCGTGCGCCTCCACTGCAGTATGTAACAGGACAAAAGATCGCAATTTTTAGAGACAATAAAATAGGAGCAGGTAACATCCCGGTACAACCGACGTCCGTTACACACACCGAAATCCCCACTCAACTGTCCCGTTGATCCTCAATCCTCCCCACCGGTCGCTTCTGCTGTACCGTTAATCCACACAGCGCAGCCGGCAGGACATCCGTCGAGTTAGCTCAAATAGAAGACCTTGATTTCCTGCTGTTACTTTCAAAATAAAACAAATCTGTTGGTCACTAAATTACGACTCCTGAACCTGTTTCTGACACCAGACGGGTATGGAATCAGTCAAGCTGTGTCTGACTAAAAACTGCCCCAGTTTTTTCAAAGTGTCACAGAAGCTCCAGCTTTATTCTGGGTAGCCAGCCTATGTGAAAATGTTGCCCATTGCAAAAAATATTAAAGGACATGCATCAACAAATAGCCTACAAATCCATGCACACCTTTTAACCTTTAACTTTTTAAGCTTATATTTAACTTCAATATATTTGTATATTATGTGTTGCAGTAATAAATGGAGACATCAGGCTATATGTGATGAACACATTACAAAGACAGAAGGTGTTGGCTGTGCACATTGAAAAAAGGGAACCACAACCCAACTAGGAAGTACTGCAGCCATGCATTTAACGAGAAGCACTGAATTAGTTAAGTTTACATAGTATAAGGGTGACATTTATAGACTGTACAATGCATGGATGTATTCTCAATGATGTAACCCATTGGTTTCTGAAGTAGAGTTTTGAGGCCCAACAATGGCGGACTTCATATCTTTAGTGCTGTCTCAAACTGTCTTTCTGTCAGTGTACAAAAAAGAGGTAGAACTTAGGTATGCCGTTAGCCTCCTAGTAAACAACTTCAACCGCCACGCCTCTAGCAACACATAACTATTATCATTTCTAAAAAATAATAATCATTCAACCCAGGCACAGTGTAGCCTATCAATCAAGACATGAGCTTTGCCCACCAAAAGTTTTTTTTTTCCACCAGACCGTAAACATGTCTGTTCCTGCTGTCAAACTGGGGACTTTAACATTGGTGTTAATAGGACACCCAGGTCTCTGGCGTCCAGTCTCAAGTGGACACCAGAGTTTGTTTTTTTCAATTTCCATATTGGTTTAATTCTTCAACCCCAGGGGTTGTTGCAATTGTTTGCTTGGTCCATGCATCTTAATCACATCATCAAAACAACTCTAAAATATATTATGCAGAAGTAATATTATGCCAGACTGTACATTTATGGGATTGTAGATTTTAGAGATGATGATGCTTTGAAATCAGTAATGTCAAACTTCCTACTTTTTGGCTGTTATACCTTCAATACAGAGAAAATAATTCTGGTGGCATGAATTTACCCCAGCTTGCTTTGCCAAACCCAAACTCAAAGGCATACCTTGTTTTATAAATGCGATTGGCACTTGGTGATTTTATTTTGAAGTAGTAATCACAGTATTTCCGGGCTGCGCATTAATAACCCCGTTTCGCTTGACGTAGCTTTGAGCGCTGCATAGAAGTTGTTGAGAGCCTCCTTATTTTGCTATATCGCGTAATATAGAAGCCACAACATGCGTGATCTGTAAGACGCTCTGTGAGGAAAATATTCAAGTTATTAGGGAAGCTTTATTATCAGGCCTTTGTTTTGTCTCCCACCGGATATAGTGTAGGCTACTTATATCCTAGCTCTCAGTCATGCATCGTCGATAAAAGTGAAGCGTGGAATAAGGGAGAACGCTCGCCTTCCCTTCTGTTCTGTCCCATTTGGAAGTATACAGCACCCTAACAAAGAGCTTAAAGCACACGTCACATCACATTTCTCTACTGTGGCGCTGATAAGTTGTTTCTGTGTGTGAAGGGGGAGGACGTCAGACTGCCCTTTGAATCCTAAATATATCCGCTGTTATGGGCTACAGGATATTGTAAATGGTGTGTATGTTAAAGAGATGCTAAAGGAGAGGAGAGAGAAGGGAAAAAAAGTCCAAACTGTTTGTGAATGGGTCTCCATCTCGTATTTTCTAAAGATATTTGGATTCAAGTGTGGATTTTTTTTTTTTTAATTAAGCTTGCAACTGATATTAGATAGGCTTGGTTCACATGGGGTTTATTGAGCTGATGCATCTGATCTATCATCTAAGAGACTGTATCAGTGTCATAAAACTAAATTGGAGATATGAGGTTTCTGCATTTGGCTGATAGGCCTGATGGTTGTCTGCAGAAACAAAGTCCTGGAGGTATACAGCTTGAGTGTCTGAGCCAGAGAGATATAAGACCAGTTGATTCAGTGTGGAGCAGGATATATGATTCAACTACACACCTTAAAAAGGCTACATTTTTAAATTCATTATGCAGTCTTATTTTGCACTCCTTTAAAATATTTTTTTCCTTTTTGCTATGTATGTTAGGAAAACAGGAGGAATTGGCTTGTTCACAATATTCCCCTGAGTATTAGGATTGTTTTTTTTAATCACCAATTAATCAGTAATTGTTAAAGCAAAATTTGGCGTGGCCTTTTTTTTAACTAAACAGTTGAACGTCCTGCAGCTTGTGACCAGGGTAACCTCAGTGCTACAGAATGATTGGCCATGACAATAAACCAGCATAATCTAAGCTTCAGGCTACTGCCAATCAGTTTATTGATGATCTCTTAACAGTTGTTAAAGCCATTGAGACATTGTCAGGGGGCTGCCGGGATAGCTTCCTGCTGAAATCACTATTCATTTGTTAGCTGGGTGCTCATAAATCTGGGTAGTCGACAATTGATTAACCACTTAAAACCTAATCAGGCTTTTTTTTTTCTAGTTGTGTCTGAATCCTATGATAAAATCTATCCTGTAATACCACTTTGTTACAGCTAAGGGACACTTGGGTGTAATAAAAATCCATTTGTATTGCTTTACAGTGCCATAGCATAAAGTGAACACAGTCCACAATGTCTGCAGGGGCTTGATAGAATTGCAACATTTGCTGGACCATGAGCAGCTTTTTTGACCTTCAATTTTGACATTTGAGCTCTACATATGTACAGGAAGCTGCTTATTAAGCAGTCTTCTACACTTACACTGGTTCTAATTCAAAACAGGCCATTCCTTATTTAACATGTAGGTTAATGTGTCAACCTGGTTTGGGTTATGTCTTAAAATAGCAAGGGTAAGTTTACTGAAGGAGAGCACCTATGGTTGCAGGGATTGCATAAGCAGCTGTAGCTCTACTGAAGACTTCCAATTCAGTAATCTGGCTCATTTAAAAGTGTTGTGTATGATTGGCATAAAAAACTGGGCCTCATTTTGTTGTCAGAGCAACAATGTTTGGCTACTGTACTAAGGCAGGTTTCCCATAATTATAGTTCCTACTGCAGCACGCAATGGAGACCCAACCTCTGCCAGGTCATTGTGGCTAACTACATGTTTTGACAGTCTGAGGGAATAAAAGAACAGACTTCTCCTTAGCCTGCCATTAAAATATTTTATCTTGATTAAAAACACCACTCCAGTATATCTGACTGAAAGTGACATCTGACATTCTGATACTGAAAACCTTAACCAGCTAAAGTTAACTAACAAGCACTCACCTATGCTTTGATGATTCATTCATCACTTCCCAAACAGCAGCATTATTGACCCAACCTCACTGAAAATACAGAAAGCTGTCTGCAGGCTTTCACCCTGACAGCAGTGAAAGAAGAAGTATTAGTCACTAGATAGATGTAGAAATCATCAAATTGAAGTAATGGATAGGATTGTGCTTTGTTAGAGATTAAAGATTGGGCCCAAAAGTTACTCTATCTGAATATCTCAGTTTCTCTGTGGCTGTCAGGTGATGAAAACATTTTTCTTTTTAGCAAGATGGAAAATTAACAAGCTGCGGCTTCACAGTGCTCAATGAGACACCACTTCGTGGAGAAATCTGTTTATTGATGGATGGATTTCAGGGACTTCACAAGATTTCTCTGCAGACAATGATACAAGTGACAAGTGATTATTGCGATGTTGTCTTGGCTTCCAAATGACCAAAGATCTCAGCAGATCAGTACAAAAAGTGTCATTTTTCATAAATCAAAAATCCCACTCTTCTAACAGCTGTAAAATATATAATAAAGGCAGCTGTTTCCTAACAAGCACAGTGTCACAACTGGTCACTCACCAACAAGCTTGACAACCTCAGCTACTTAAACTGTAGGCCTCCAGTGAAGCCGATCAGGGCATTGATTGTCTAATCATCTGGGGACCTTGTTGGAATCGGTGTTAAGACTGAAATAATTGGATGGCCTGGAAAGAAATCCCGTCAGTGAGCATGGATCAGTGATCAGGAAAGGTGGACATTCAGCAACAAATGAAAGAAATAGTCTAGTGGACTGTAAGGTTGAGTTAGGCAACTATGATTTGGAGATATTGATTTTATAGAACGTTTCTTTTAAGAGAAAATATCCATTTAGAACATTTTTTGAACATTCCTGTTATAACTTCAGGATGATACTTGTACAGCTTGTATCACTTTGACTCTACATTGTACTGCAATCCCATAACTTGTACTTTTCTATCTGGACTTTTGAGAGATAATCCTTTCAGTTGTCTTTACCTACCAGCGTATGAGTGGGATAGATAGAGAAGGCTGCCACAAGAGCTATAAAATCCCTATCCCGGGTATCATTTGTGTCATAACTCTATCTAAAAAGCTGAAGATGGGAGCACAAAGGCACTGTCAGTATCATTATAAGCTGCTGAAGTTTAACCTTCTGTCACTGTGAATCCAGCTATTGATTAGCTGTTATGGCTATTGCAGACGGCAGCAGGTCATATTGGCTGAAATCCTTTGGCACACAGATGAGTGGTCAGGAAAAGCACACACTCAGCAATGACTTAAAGCCTCAATGCAGGATTTTTTTTTTCCATTGCATCCATTAGGCACACATTCATTTTCCCTTAGTGGGCGGCAATGGCCTCAGAGATAACATTAAGAGCTCGTAATTGTTCTGAAATGTTCACAGGGCAATGCTGGACTCACTAGAGGTCCCTATCCAGTCATCTCAATAAAGCCACGCTCAACACTCGACCCAATAAACACCAATACTATACTATACTACAATAATAAACGTGTTTCAGTGTGTTACATCCACTGCAACACTGAGATGTTCAACTGTGATATACATAACAAATAA